ACTAATATTTTGAAGTGTTTTTAGCTTTTTCAAATATTGTGGTACGAGTTGTGCATTGTTTTTTGAAGAGAAACAAAAAAAGAGAAAAAAAGTTGATAAATATATATAAATATATATATATATATATATATACAAAACTAATATTTTGAAGTGTTTTTAGCTTTTTCAAATATTGTGGTACGAGTTGTGCATTGTTTTTTGAAGAGAAACAAAAAAAGAGAAAAAAAGTTGCTGTTTTTTCAATGTCCTTCTTTGGTTAGAGTTTCCTGTTCGATATGTTGTTGTTTTTTCTTTCTCTTTGGTTCACTGGATTTTCTGTTCAGCACTTTGAAATCATAAACTAGTTCTGATTATTCTGACCCCGACTGTGTCTTGTGTTTTGATTCTTTATAATTCATTGACAAAAAAAAAAGAAAAAGCACAAACAAAATATTGTTTTCTATATAAGGTAACAAAACATCAAATTTCAGCCACATTTTTACATGTTTTTTTAAGTGTGTGTGTGTGTGTGTGTGTGTGTGTGTGTGACTTGTCAGACACAAAAGCCTCTTGACAGGTAAAAGGCCTTGTCTCTCTCCTGGGGGACCCTCGGGCTCTCATAGAGAGTAGAGAGGGATTAGGAAAGTGAGGAGGGGGAGGAAGAGGGCGGGGAGAAGAGCTTCATGTTAGCATGAGGTCCAGATCAGCCTCCAGCCTCGTTAAACACCATCGATCGGCACGGTGACATTTCACAGCACATGCCGTCTATACTGTTACCGCCATCACTCACTTGCCGTCCTGCACAACAGCGTTACCGCTAACACAGACACACACTCTCTGTCTCTAACAGCCAGGTGATTGATAGCAACTGTTAGACAATTGTGAACAGCTCTACCTGTGCATGTGTGCGGGGAAAAAAGAAGAAGTGGGTAGAAGCAGAAGAAAGTGCACAAAAAAGTAAAGAGTGAGCACGCACCACCACCTCTTCTGTTTTATGATGTTTAAACTTTCCCCTTTGTGAATAAAATAACCATTTTAGAAAGATGAAGCGCAATGGCTTTCAGTGACACATACTAACCTGGAAATGCCCATAAACATTATCAGTTTATTACTTATAATTCTGTGTGTTTGTGAGTGCATGTGGCACATAACAACAAATATCTGTCCAACACTTCACCCTCCTTTGGTTTGGGGGAAGGTGCGTGGGGACTGTGATGTGTTTTTTAATGAGTATGCAGGAAAAAAACATTCACACTTTTGTTTTCTTTTTTTTTTTTAAAAAGTGGTGTGATTGTGTACATGCGAAAGAAAATGAATGAAGTGTTAATATTCCTCCTACAACTGTGTTACATGTAAAATAACATGACATGAAGCAGAGAGCATGAAGAGCAAAATCTACGCACACACAGACACACTCACACGCTGAGCTGTCACTCTCCAAGCCGATCGATCAGTGCTGACAGATAGCAGATACCCAGAGTCTTAATTAGAGGTCCCATTAGAACATATAGACACACACACACACTCACAGATTCAAAGCATGTATTCTTCTGGTTCTCAATTCATAAGTTCTTCTCATAAAGCCATGTATAAACAACAGCAAGCATGTTTTCATGTACGCATCAAGAGGGCAGGGAAATTAAAATCATGACTATGTTTATGTAGCAGCTTCAGGTTCATGTCTGCTTTTTGTGGAAGCAGTGTCCTGGCTTATTGGACCACCTGCCATAGTTAATGTTATTAGAAACACCTGTGCTTTCCTACCATGACTTGTCACAAAGTCTACCATGACAAAAAAAAACAGGCCCATATCCACCGAGGCATCAGGATGTGCTAATCAAACCTGCCACAACAAAAACCAGTAAAGATTCATGAGGTAAGACATGAACGGAGCTCCCTGCTTGCTTCCTCTCCTGCTGACAGACCTCCCGGATTAGACTGAAACAAATGGCACCTGAGTCCTCCTGGGACCCCAAACGACACATGTTTAAACACACACGGTGGTGTTTCATTCACGCCAAATCACTGATTCCGACTATTCACTTAAACCGGTGGTGTCAAACATAAGGCCCAGGGCCCAGAATTGGCCCATCAGAGACTCTAAACTGGCCCACTGGACAGCTTTGGAAAATGTGAAAGAGAAATTGTGTTTTACAATGGTTTAAAAAAAAAAAAAGGAAAAATTCTTTGTTTTATACCTAAATCACAGTCTGAGCAACAAGCTAGCAGAACATTTCCTGTAATTTTACAGATTTATTTCTTACAGTTTAAGCCCAAAGAGTCATGCTGACACATTTCTTTCATTTCCTACAGCAGCCGTTCTTTATCGTGTAGAAAAACTGGGAACTGCTGATGAAATTTCATGTAATGTTCGTATATTATAACTGACAGAAAGGGCAGTTTTACTGGTCCAGCCCACTTGATGTAAATGAGTTTGACATCCCTGACATAAACATAACCTCACAGCAAGTCTTCACCTTAGACTTGAATGATTTACATAACGGGACATGCTTCTTCTTTGTAAGTACCCTTGATGTGCCCACATCAAGGGTACAACTTACACACGCTCAGACACCTCCTCCTTCTCTCTCTCTCTCTGTCTCCACAAATACAGAGACAGAAACATTTTTGATGATGATTTGCTATTTAGGCTGTCAGCTCTATTCCCTCCTCCCCCTCAGTCTGCAAGTCTGGGAGTCCCCTGAAAGTGGACAGACACACTGGCATAAACACAAGCAAACACATATGAGCACAGACACGCGCGCGCACACACACACACACACACACACACACACACACACACACACACACACACA